CTACTCCTTCGCGGAGGACTTCCTAAATTCAATTCCACTCTGCGCTCTAGTGAGGTGCCTGCTAAATTCAAAAAGAACGGGGGAGGAGAGGAAAGGGAGTCTAGGTGGAAGCAGAATTCCAAGTACAAGGGTGCTAGAGTGAGCCCCCGTGTAAATGCCCCCGACAAGAGCTAGGACAGGTGACCCCAGGCCCCCACTTGGGAAGCCTCAAGGCCAAGGTTGTGCTGCAACTTCTGCAGGCCCCTCCCAGAGATCGGAAGGCGTGGAGGCCCAACTGGCCAGGGCTCCTGGGCTGTAGACTTAGTGGGAGGGTACTTGGGACCAGCGGAGACGGAGCGGAAGGAAAAGCCCCTAGTCCCAGTTCTTCCTCCACGCCAGGCCTCGGCTCAAAAGGGCAGGCCTGGCCAGCCGCGGCCACGCGGGGGGCTAGTATAGCGCCAGCGCCTGCTCGCGCAGGACCACGCGCTTCTTTTTCATACGCCGGTTCTGGAACCAGATTTTGACCTGCTGGTCGCTGAGGTTCAGCCGGTTGGACAATTCCTTGCGCTTCTGGCGGTTGATGAATTCGTTGAGGAGGAATTCGTTCTCCAGCTCCGCAATCTGCTGCTTGGTGTAGGGTTTCCGCTTCTTGCGGGTCCTCCCTGGGGCCGCCCCCCACGGCAGGCCTGCAACACAGCCCCAACCCAAGTCAGCCCTGCCGGCTGCTCCCAGTTGTCTGCCCGCCCCCAGCGGCTCCCTCCCTCTGCACGCTCTCCCCTGCACCCCACCTCCCAGCCCAGCCCAGACTGGCCCAGGGAGCATGGCCACCGTTTACCGTCGGGCAGCGAAGGTCGCAGGCAAGAGGCGACGCCCGCCGCCTGCACTGTCATGTTCAAGTTGAGCGGGCCCTTGGTGTCGTCCTTGAAGCCGGCAGCGCAGGGGGTCCCCTCGAGCAGGGCTGCAGAGCCCGCTGCCGCACGGCCCACACCCGCGTAGTCGTACTTGGCCGCTTTGAGAGCAGCGGCCGCGGGGGCCAGGCTAGAGTCGGGGACGAAGGGCGGCCGCACACGGCCACGGTCCTCCGGCCCAGCGGCCACATCGGGCGCATAAAACTTGGCCTGCTCTTCGGGTCCATCCTTGGCGCCCAGGGGCTGTAGACCAAGCGGCCCGGAACCGGCCAGGTAGGGCTGCGAAAAGCTGCCGAAAGCGGTGGCACCGGCAGGCTGCGCTGGGGCGCAGGACGCGGGCGTGGTGGCCCAGGGCAGCGCCCCTCGCGGGTATGAGATGGGGGGGAGCGCGGCCAACTGGCCGCCATTCGGCCGCAGGTTGGAGAAGTAGAAGGAGTCAGGCGACTGCAGATTCAGAAGCGAGCCCACATAGCCCGCTCTGTAGAGACTGCGCTCACACATCTCCAACAAAGGGCTTCGGCTGCGCTCGCAGCAGTATTTAGTTACAACCGGGAATAAGAGGACAGGCTCAGACGATTGGACGAAACTTTGCCTGCAGGTTCTTCAAAGCCGGTCATTTCAGCACCGCCTACATCCCCCGACCCGTTTTCCCCCCCTTCAGGGTATTATGATAACTCCCGCAATATTCGATGGAGAAGGAGGAGGCTGCCAGGCAGAAGAACCAAGGAACGTGGAACGAAGGTGAAACCACTGTGAGTTTCCGGGCTCAGCTTCAGGAGCGGGGGACATTGGGTGCCTTTGCCCCAATGTCCCTTGGGATCCTTCTTGGTCTTGATTGGCTTTGCACTCCCCCTTCCCACTGGCTACCTAGACCAGGCTTGCTTCCACGAGCTTTAAGTTGCAGCCAAGGCCTTTTCTAGCGCTGTGCACCTCTGGCTAGGCTTGTCTAGAGAGTCCACTGTCTGGTGGGGCCACCAGCTCTGTCCCTAGGCCTGAGCTATGCTACTCCTAGGCCGATTTCTTCCTGCCCCTGTCCCTCTGGAGAGGATTCTGCACTGGTCATGTTGCATCGAGGACCCACACACGGCCTCCAAAGGTTTGCTGATGGAGGAGAAATGCATCACAAACTCTGCCCAAGTTTGGTGCCCAGGAAGGTGGTTTCAAACCAATTCTGGTGTGCTTCTCTATGGCCAAGTCCTCTGCTCCCAGGAAATTTGCGGCCATCCCGGTCCGTGGAGAATGCTGGCCCAGGAAGGGGCAGCTGCATTGGCCAATCGTGGCCAAAGGCTACATTCCTTTTATTGCCAGGAGTCACCTTGGCGACTACATCCTGCCAACCAGAACTCCAAGCTGTTCATCTCCTCTGCAGCGGGCAGAGCAGAACGAGCTCCCCGGACTTGGTGTGGAAGGACAGAAGAGCCAGAGTCACTCGGCGGGGAACAGCACGGCTCGCCCAGGCAGCAGGCTAGCGGCGTTGCTCCGCTCAGCGCCTCCAAGGCCGCTGGCGGGTTCGGGGTTCTGGAAAACAGGGGCCTGAGCAGGAGGGGCGGCGCTCCCTCGTCGGGGGCCATGCGGCAGCCCCCTCCGCAGGCCCTCCGGTTTAGCTTGGCCAGAGGGCTATGGGTCCTCCTCCCCTGCCTCGGTCCCAAGAAACCCAGCGGCCGCGTGACTGGCGGCCACCCCAACCTGCAGCCCTCCTCGCGGTCCCCGAGCCAAGCTGGAATTGGTTAGACCGCCAGCTCCGGCACGGAGACCACACAGGCGCCGCCGGAGGGCAAGGCTGACCACCGCGCTGCGACTTTATTGTGAGTTATGGCGACCAATTGGGCGGTTCTGGGGAACGCAGTCGGTCTCTTCCTCCCGCTCTAGGGCGGGGGGTATGGGGTGAGGATGGGGATGTCCGAGACTCCTCAGGGTTCTGTCAGAGTTTCCTTACCAGCTCAGACACAGAGGGAAAAAAACTCCACTCCCCGTCCTTGGGGGTGGGGGCGTGGGGAGGTGTAGCCATAAGCTGCAACCTCAGTTCTTAGGGGCTTAAGGGATCCAGGCTCTCGTTTTGGGAAACTCTCCCTGTTTTCCTGGAGCTACAGACTCCCCAGGCCCAAAATCTCCAGCTCCAGGGATCCCTGGAGTCTCATCTCCTCCCGTCTCAGCATGCAGCGATGCTCCGGTATTTCCAAGTCCAAGGGTGTCTTCTCCGGACCCTTAGGCAGCCGCACAGCAGCGGTTTACCCCTGGGGACTAAAGACATAAAGGCACTAAGTGAGCAATGAAAGACTAGAACAATTAGATTCCCTCCATTTCTCTTTGGCTCAGAATGGTGTCCATCTGCCCCACCTTATCTCCTGGGTTTGTAATTTCCGAGGTCCAGCAGGCAAAGTTGTACGCTGGGAGCTAAGAGCTTGGAGCTGAGGACTGCGCGGCGGGGCGGGGCGGGGGCGGGGGCGGGGTGGGGGTGTTGGTGGGAAGGGCAGGAGGCTTGGCTGGTGAGCTGGAGAATGGGAGAGGATTTGGCCGCGGAGCTGAACCGCGAGTTCTGCCAATGCCGCCGACCGCCCAGGAGATGGCGAGCGAGCTCCACGCCTGGCGAGGCGCCGCCGCACGGTCAAGATCAACAGTGAAGGGCGGCACAGCCGGCCTGGGGTCGCCAGCCCGTGCGGTCACGGCCCGCTGCCAGGCTCCGCCAAGCGTCTCGGAAAGCCGGAGATCGTGGCAGCAAGGCTGGCGGGGACAGCGGAGTCAGAGGCACCCGGCAGGCTGCCAGACACGGGGAAGTGTCGCGGCCGCCCCTTTGTCTGGCGGTGCGTCCCGGCCGCAAACGCCTCCTTCGCCTCCTGGATCACGCGTAGACGCGCGGGCCTGGAGTCTCCACCAGCGGCACTCCAAAACCTGCTAGGTTTCAGACGCGTCCTCCCTGCGGCCTCTCGGTCTCCGCCCGGAGAAAGGCCTCTCTCCCAAGCTCCCTTCGCCTTTGCTCCCCGTGGGCCTCCCTACCAGCGCTCCGGCCACCTACCGGCTCCTCTCCTCCCTCCTCAATTCGGAATATAAAAGGAATGCATATAAATAGCAACGTCTTCATCTGTTATTGATTTAGCCATCAATTCAAATTCCACCGGAGAGCATTTGAGCAGTTTTAATCTTCAGCAAACCTCCCCATTTCTCCTAGGCAGAGTAAACTGACCAGCAAACTACGGATGAAAGGAAAACCTCCAGGCAATCCCCGCATCCGACAGGAAACCTCAGAAATGGACCTGGGAAATGGAGTGCGGCCCTGGAGTCTGGAATTTACCAAAAAAGGAGGGAAAACGACGTTGGAAAAGAAGGGAAAACAGGCCTGCTTCAGATGAACGCACATCTTGCGAGGAAAGCAACATGCTAATTAGAAACTCTTCCTTAAAGTGGAAGGTCGGGGTAGTTATGTCCAGGGTTAGTTCTGTTCAGGGTTACTTCTCCAGAATTTGAGTCGTAGTCCGTTCTCTCTCTGTTTGCCTCTGTCTCCCTCTGTGTCTCTCTATCTCTGCCAGTTAAAACGAAGTTGGCCGCCCATAGCCAACCATCGATGCAAGATATGAAAGAAATCAAGCCGGGCCAGAGAAAACGAAAGTAGCTCCGGACCTTGGGTCTCTGCGTTTTCTCTAGCGGATCCATAAGGGAGCCCTCCCGCCATAAGAGTTTACATATTGTGTGAGGTTTTAAACATGCGTATTTAACTTACACACCAAAAAGTTAGCAACCACTAAACTGATTGTGCCTAGGCGCTAACAACACGAGGCACCCAGCTCCTCAGCGGCCATTTCCCTGAGTGGCAAAAAGGCCTCAAAAAAGCAAGTTCATTGGGCCTAAAAATTGCGTCTAGAGGTTTAGGGCGTATAATTATGGTTTTCAGTCCTCAAACGCTGTTTGGAGGCTGCTCGGAAAGGGTGATAAGGGATCAGCCTGAAATGTTTCTTTTTCAATTGCCAAATATGGATGTGTCTAATTTCAGGATCTTCCAAGAGTTAGATGTTTATAACAGCCTTTCTAGGAAGAACACCTTCAAGTGAGCACAATTTCCTATACCCAGACACAAACATACATATTGATTAAAAAAATAAAACTATTTGAATAAAGTGATAATATTGAAAGAGAAGTAAAATTTTATTGGAGATGTTTTTTTTTTTTTTGGTCCGGTAAAAAATACCATTTCAGACACCGCAAATTATATTCTCATTTAAAGACATCACTACTTATGTTAAAGCCACAGGGAAAAGGGTGGAGAGGGGTGGCGGAAATGGAGTGGAGTTTCAGAGAGTAGAACTGGTATTGAGTTTCCTTCGTCTATAGCGAACATCATAATGTTGAGGACAACAAGATTTTATAATAAATAAGAACACAAGAGGTAACAAGCTTGGAAAAAGAAAATATATAAAAGACGAAGAAACAAGAGAGTTCTGTTTATTTGCATCTCCCTAGGAATAAAAAAAAAATCATTTTTAAATGCCTGAAGCACTGCACACATATCCCAGCTCACAGACATTTCATCTACAAAAATATCTCTTGGTTGTATAAATATGCAGCACTTTAAAAAGTAGTTATTTATCATCACATCATTTTTTTTCCACCTTGAACTTTAGAGCTCCACATTTTCATATTCGTTAGATGTTTTAAAATTCCAAGAGGGGCTCAATACATTTGTTCAGACAGTCAAGTTCTTCGTTGGGTTCTGGACAAAAGTTCCCACCCTTGGCCACCTTGATTCATTCTCTTTCAGGGGACTGAGGAGATCACTTCAGTTCTAGTCCCACAGACCCAGGGTCAAGGAGAAGGTGTGCATTTATACCATCCATGGATTACTCTCACATTTGCAGCCATTTAAATATCTGCATTCAGAGCTGGGGGAATGAAGGCATCCATGAAGACAAATTATTTTCAAATTAAAGATTATAAAAGCACAAATCGACGACATATACTAAACACATAGAAGTACAACAGCAAATGAAAGATCCGAAGTAGGGAAGATTGTCTTCATTTCAACATCGACACAAACCCTATTTAATAAGGTAGCTGCTTTTAAAGCCATCAGAGTACCTCCAGCCGCCTGTTTTTAGACTTTCCCAGTGACCTTAGAGCGCTGCCTGCCCAGAGCTGTTTCCACTTGCCTCAGGGTGACTGCTGAGAGCTAATGATTAAATTGCCCAATCACAGGATATGAATGACTGCAAATCGTTCTGCCCTAATAGATTATGAAGATAATCAGTGCTGGAAACAGGCATTTGAAGTAATTTAAGAGAATAAAACCCTAAAATCATAATGGCACTTCTGAAATTCTTTGGGGGGGGGGGTATTATTCAAAAGTACTTCAAGTCCTTTATACTGGCCTGGAGGGAGAAACAGAACATTAAAAACATCATAAAAAATAAACCTAGACAAGAACAAAATCAATAATAAGCAAGTAAGAAACAGAACTACAAAGTCAGGTTGGGGTAGCAAAAGGTTTTAGAGCCTGATAGGGGAAGAGAGAAAAACAATTCACAAAATTTGCCATGATTGGCAGGGAGGTGGGAGGAATTAAATACATATTCAAGTCTTTCCGAAGGTCTTTTGGAGACAACTGAAAGCATTTAAATTCTCTTTGACCAGTCTGGTCCACATCAGGAGACAGTGTCTTTGAGCTTGGAGACGATTTTCTTGTCTTTCACTCTTCGGTTCTGAAACCAAATGGTCACTTGTCTCTCGGATAGGTTCGTGGCGGCTGAGATCCGCCGCCGCTTGTCCTTGTTAATGAACTTGTTAATGGCATACTCGTTCTCCAGTTCTTTGAGCTGCAGTTTGGTGTAGGGCACCCTCTTCTTCCTCCCCCGACGGTAGACACACATGTCTGGCTGATTTAGAGCCACATCCCCTGGTATTTAAAAAAAAAAAAAAAAAAAAAAAGCACGAAAAAAATTAGACCAGGGTTTCTGGGGGCACCACTGGGGACTGTGTGTGTACATTCGGAAGGGGTATGGAGAATAAAGAAAACCAGGCTGTTTGCATTTTATTATTGTTTACACAGACATATTATTTACACATTATTAAAGAAAGATTATTTACACTTCAAAGTGAAGGCCATTTGATGCTGATGGATCATCATGGTTTCTCAAACCAGCATCTTAACAAGCCTTCAATTTTATGGCATGGTTATTGTGGACAGTTACAAGGACAGTTTCTGCAAATGCCTGTGGCATACATACAAACAGTCTTTTAAAAATCCAGTTTGTTGTTGTTGTTCAAGCTTTGATTTCTTGTGTTCCTGTGTTTGGAGGTTGTGAGCTCTTAGAAGCTTAGTGGTCACCCTGGGGCAGACGTGTGCTTCAAAAGTGGGGCCCAACACTGACACTTCTTTGGGGAGGAGGGGCCAAGGCCTGGGCAAAGGGCACGCAAAGACCTTCAACTGTGGGAGAAAAACAGGCTTGTACCCGCACGCAGAAGAAAAGGGTTGTGAGAAAGACAGTTGAAATCAAAGGAGAAATGTACAGATTTCAGGCAAACTGGACGAACTGTTCCATAGGTTAACCCTGGCCGGCCAGGAGGACTAGCGCAGCTCCCAAGTAGGGGCATACACTACTAGCGCTTTCTTTTCCTTCTCGCGCTCTCTCTCTCCCTCTTCCCTCCCCTCCCTCCCTCCCTCCCTCCCGGCCACCCCTTTCCCCCGTCGCCCCTACCTGGAAAGGAGGATTTCCAAAAATGGGAGCCCTGTGTCTGGTCCTTGGCACAGTACACCTGGCTGTTCCACCCGTTGGCCAGCGTCCAGGACTGGTAGCCCTCCATGGAGATGTACGCCTCGTGCCGAGGCTCCCCGGAACCGAAGGTGGACACCATGTCGATGTAGCCAGGCACGTGCTGGTAGGGACTCGTGTAGCCCTGGTAGAAGGACACCTCCTTGGCTCTTGCGGGCACCTCGTTGGCCGGTACGCTGCTGCTTGCCAGGCCCGACACGTCCATGTACTTCTCCACCGGGAAGCCTCCCAGCGAGGCGTGCGGCGACGACTTGAGAGCGTTTTGCTGTAAGCCCACGCCGTGCGACATGCGGCAACTGTAGTAGCCGTTGCCGAAGTGGTAGCCGTAGCCCAGAGCTGGGGCGCCCGGAGGCGCTGCAGCGGCCGCGCCGGGCGCGGGACACTCTTTGGCGGAGGGAGCCTCTGGACGCGCTGCGACCACAGCCGAAGATGACGACGACGAGGCGGAGCCCGCACGCTCCGAGGTCCCCGGGTATGCGAAGCCCGAGGCCGCCGCCGCCGCCGCCGCCGCCGCCGCCGCTGCCGCCGCCGCACGCCCAGAGTGTGTCCCGGCGAACACTGGCGCCGAGAGGAAGCCGCGACACTGGCCGGGGGCCGCCGCCGCCGCCACGGAGGAGGAGGAGGAGGAGGCTGGGGCCGCCCCGGCGGCCCCGCCGTCCGCCCGCAGCCCGTCCATGTCCCAGCTCCCGGCGCGGCTCATGGCCCGGCCCGGCCCGGCCCTGGCCCCGGCCCCGGCCCCGCGCAGGACACCATGGCGCGGCGCGCTTCCTCCCCTTTCTCTCTCGTTCTCTGGCTCCCGCCCTCTTCCTCTCGCCCTCTCTCCCTCTGCGAGCCTCCCGCCTCCCGCCCGCCCGCCCTTCAACAGGTTAGCTCATCGCGGGACGTTTATAAAAACGAAGTTCAGGTTGGGAGGGGGCCTGGGCCGGTCGGGGGGCCTCCTCCCTCCCCGAGGGCTCCGGCTCGGGGCCGCGCCATTGGCTGCGCGGGGCCACGTGGGGGTGGGGGCGCGGGAGAGTCTGGCTCCGGGCCCGGGCCCCGCTGGACCCACCCACCCCGGCCCCTACCCCTTCCCAGCCCCTAGCGCAGCCCACCGCCCCTTCCCGCCCTCCTTTGGACCCTGGCGTTTGCGCCGAAGCCAACCCCCACGAGCTGATTGCGCGACCGCCCATCCTAGGCCCTGTCTGCGACTGAGAAGGGCGCCGAGGCCTGCCGCTTGTTTCGGCCACGGCTGTTTTTGCCACCTCTCCTCGGATCCCCGAGCCGTACAACTAAACGAAGGCGAAGGACAGAGATGGTCAGAATGATGTGAAAACAGCCTGATTTTTGACCCTGTTGCTTGATCCCTTGGATTAGCTGACCTAGACCCCAAACCCGAGGGAGCTAATTTTCCCTACGTTAAGCATTGCTACCGGGCAAAGGCATTTCACGCATGTTCTCATAAAGGATCCTCCGAATTAAGACCAATTGGAGCAGACCCTCCCTACACACACACACACACACACACACCCCGTCCACCAGGAAAATGCCCACGAAGTGCCCTTGGTGCCAGGACAGAGACTTACAAGTAAGTCAAGCGGACGAAAAGACGCGGCCTTGACGCGGCGAACGTGACGATCTGCCCCAGGGAGAAAAGGACGGATGCCTGGTCCACACAATTCGCCTCTACACTCAGGCCTGCCGGGAGTCGCCTCCCGAACTGGGCTCCCCGGCCCTTGCTCAGATTCCCCTGGCCAGCAGCAAGACCCTGTGGAAAGCTCTTGGAGAAAGCCACTCTGCTGCCCGCCACGAAACTTCTGCGCCTCCCCTGCAGCCCAACTGCCTCTTGCATTTTGCAGCCACCACCCGCCCCCGCCCATTACTCACACCAATTAATTGAAAACTTCACTTTCCCAGGGACCTTTGTTTCGCTTTCTTTTCCAAGCTGCCAACTGCAGAGAACTGAGAGGGGCAAATTAGGAAGGTAGTTTTTTTTTCCCCCGCGAGCAAAGTTGGGGCTCCCGATAGGAGCAGCCAGAGCAACTGGGTCTGGTCTCCCGGGATAAAGTGGGCTCCTGTGACAAGCATCACAGCCCTGACCGGATTCATCCCTTCGTGCCATTTCTCAGACACAGAGCCCCAGCACCGCCCCCGCTCCATCTTAGCCATTAATGGGGAGCTGGTATGTGTCCGGCTGTGGACTTAAGGCTACACCTTAGGAGCAACGTTTCATTTGAGGAGTTGAAGGTGCTGGGTGGGGTTCAGGAGCCCTCGGAGTGAGCCCATTTGGTTCTGTAGCATCAACTCCCCAGGTCAGCCCATCTCCAAGAAAATTGTTCCCCTGAGCCTTGATTGGTGAAGCCAGCTTGTCACCCAGCCCTGCCATTGCTGGACCCAAGACATGACTGGATGGGGCAAGTAAAAACGCCAAAGAGGCCCTCCTGGGCCTGGCCTGGCATTGCAGGGTGGGCTGCTGGTGTTGGGAGTGTTGACACGCAAAACGCAGTAACCATAAAAGGCTCAAATAAAGGGGAAAGTTATGAGAGGGGCGCTGGAAAGGAAAAGCAGGGGAATTTGACCTTTTTGAAGTCCTAGATGTGTTCATGATCAAATTTGAGTCAGAGGGGGCTGAGCCTTTTTAGAAAGTCATAGGGAATAGAAGTTTGCTGGTGAGAGCAATTTTGGTTACTCGAAACAAGGAGGCAAAAGTTAGTAACGGAGGCTGAATTGGCGTTTTTAAAACACCAGCGGGGCCAGGTGACAGAGTTGCGGACTTTTTGAAAGAGTTTGGCTGGGTCGTCTTTACCCAACAATTTTGGTACCAAACCAGTCATGGAATGCTGCCCTGAAACACTTATTTTTCCTTTGTCTTCCTTGCTTTTTCTCAGAGAGAGAAAATACAGGCATCTTTAAAAGTTTTTTTTCCCCTGTGACCTCAAAAAGCAAAGTTGTTGAAATAATTTCTAAGACATAACAGGCACCAATGAACTTTCAGTCTTTTAAAACTAAATATCCCTGTGATTTTGCACACCGGGACCTCAATGCCATATTCTATCTGATACACTTTATTAGCCGATTATACGCCAAAAAAATGAAGAAAATGAAATTAAGCTAGGAAGGAAGAATTTGTCAAGTTTTGCTGATTTAAGACAGCCCTTCAATTTTGGTTTGATTTTCCATGCAGCAAATTAAATTGTGCAGGACTGGGAGTAAAGTCCCAATTCATGCTCTTTTTGAAAGACATTAATGCTCTAATTGAAAGAGGCTTCTCAATGATGGCCCTGCCTCCAATTGCCCTGGGGGACTTTCACAGGATTTGGGGTTTCTCTGCCCATCCTAGCGGATGTTCAGGGATGACGGAGGTTTTGAACAACAAGGAGCTTTGGCTCTTGCTACCCTGCCGCTGAACCTGTTTCCAGTACAGCCTTCGAAGTCGCGGCACTGGGGGAGCCAGTTCCCCTTAGGAAAGAGGTTCAGACTGGACCCTACTGGGATTCCCCTTAGGAAAGAGGTTCAGACTGGACCCTACTGGGATTCCCCTTAGGAAAGAGGTTCAGACTGGACCCAGCACCCCAGGGCAGCTGCTACTATTGGATCATAGGGCTGTGGTTGAGTACCAAGCAAAGTCAGGGCTGCTGTGTTTATGAACTAATAAGACACATAGGTTACAAGCCAGGGGTGGTAGGTAGTGGAGGAATTTTGAGGCTGAATTTGTGGAAACATTTCATTTAGCTTGTGTACCCTTGTGTCCGAGTTGATCTTAGGTTTAAACCTAATGGGAATAATTTTCTTTACTGGCCAGGAGCACAGACTGAACCCTGTGTATGTGTGGAGGTGCATCGTTGTTGGGGCTTTAACAACAGGCATAATCTTTGTTAAATGAAAATCCTTTGCCACCAGACAGAAATGTCTCCAAACACTGATGTGTTACTCAGTGAAACCAGTTTTGTCACATTTCCTGATTTTGAGTGAGAAACGCTTCATTGCCCAAGGTCCCACTGAGGGAAGGGAGCAGCAGGGAGAGGGAGAGAGGGAGAGAGAGAGGTCAGCTCTGCCTTCCTTTCCCATCACTTGCTTTTCTCTCTCCTCTCTTTCCATAGGCACCCTTTTTGGGAATTAATGAGGTTCTGAAAGTTACATCCTCCCTTGTCCTCCTTGTAAACGATCTTTCAAATCACGTCCTTGTCCTGGGTTGGGGAATGGGTGGGTGAAGGCTGCGATTTAGATTTATTGATGAACATAAGTTCCTCTGCTAGCCAAGACAAAAGTGAGCTCAATTAACCACATAATCCTGACCATTAGGGTAGGATAACAATTACCAAGTCCCATCAGATCGGGGTGCTGGAAATTCCTTTGAAAGTGTTTTCCTTGATGGTCACACCGGGAAAGGCAAGACACCTTCCTAATTAACTCGTAAGAAGCCAACAATTCAGTGTAGAAATAAAGTCTTAATTCCAAAATAAAGTCTTAAATCCAGCGGAACTGGCTGGAGAATGTCCTAACTCTCAACCAAGTCTGTACCCTGCCAACTTTGAAGTGAATTTTCTCTCTGTAGGCAATACCCAGTTTCATTCGGGTTGGATATATAATTTTTTAATTTTAAACAACAAATCTAGGGTAAAGAAAGGGGTTTCTAGCAAAAGCCAGACAGTGGAATCCTCAGTTTGGGCACTTTCTATGTCTGAGATGTATTCCATTTGAATTTGACAATACAATTAGTCTATATTAAATGTAAATTGTCTGCAACAGCGACAACAGAACGCTCCCTAAACCTGAAGCGCTATTTGATGAACCCAGGTCTGCCTCCCACAGGGTAGTGGGCCCTTGTTTGGGATGAAGACAACACCTTCAGCCCTGGCAAAAATTAAACACAGCAAGAGTCTTCCCTCTTAGAGAAACACTAATCTCCTGGAGAAGAGGGCATTGGAGGGTGGGCCCAGAGCTCGAGGATACTGGTGACTTGCTGCTTTTTTCCACAACAAAAGCTGGGGCTGCAATCCTTCTGCTGTTTTGTCCTGTATCTCAAGGTGTGGGATTGTTCTCGGGATACACTTCTCTAGCAATGTCATTGTTAACTAAAGTCCTGTAAGTGCTCACTCTGTGGGCCTTTGGAGATGAAAGAAAATAAATGTTGCTCTCTCTTTCTCCCCACCGTCTGTGTGTGTGTGTGTGTGTGTGTGTGTGTGTGTGTGTCTATTACGCAGAGCCCGCGGTCTCTATGAGGAATCCACGTGTGGTCACCAGGAGGGAGAAGGGATGAAAGTTAGGGAAATGCCTAACTACGAAGGTGGGAGGGGGGGAGCGCAGGGAGGGAGGGGGAGGGGCAAGTGGTCAGGCTTAGTTTCCCGGCCGGGCAGCTCGCAGTTCCTCAGGCCTGGCGCTAGATGTCCCTGCAAGTTTTCCTGTCGCGTCCGAGGGCGCACAACCTTCAGGCGGCCAGCCCCAGAGTCCAGGGAGAAAGTACCCTACCTCCACTCCCTGGTCATCCCTGGTAGGGTGCGCAATTGTAGCGGGAAGAGGACAACCAGAAGCAGCCAGAGAGACCTATAAGAGACAACGGGAGAACGACCTGCCGAGGGATGGCAGCAAAAAGTTGCCACTAAGGAGTCTGGCCTGGAGTCGCCGAAGCCGAGGCTCCTTCCCTTATAAACCGAAACCTCCGAGCCTTAAGCCGCGGGGACTGCATTTACCCAAAAGAAAATGCACCAGTGGTTCGAAGCCCAGGCTTTAGCGGTTCTGAGGTCCCACCACACCCAGGCGGTCCCAGTCCCCGAACGAGCTTGCGTCCCGATGCGGGCCCGCGGGTTTTGGGCCCTCTTGGCCGGGAGCCTACCGTGCGGAAGACCGAAGCCAGGCCCGGGCGGACGCGGGGCTCCCGTTACAACTCCGGTTTTACCGGCGCCCTCCCTTCGGGCAGCCTGGACAAATTTTTATTACCTTCAGTCGAAGGCCAAAAGTGTTTACCACTTCACCTCGGAGGACCTGCTGCTGCTCAAGAAACAAATATTTAGTCTGGAAGCCTAACACACAGACAAAAATTAGACCTCTTTCATGTAATTCCTCCTTTCGACCAAAAAGTGCTTTTCAGTCCATTTGGAGAAAGCCCTTCCCAGGCCCTCCTCTCCCCCCCCCCCCGCCCCCAATGCACCTTAAAAATTCTTGCCAAACCACGGGGGCATAGGTTGGATTCCTGTCTTGTTTTATTGAGTGAGTCCTGTACCTTGGTAGTAGGTAGGAGGCCTTGATATAGCCCGGACTCTACGTCTAAAAACTAGGAACACTTGAGAGGCCCATTCTCAGTGTCAACCTCTGCAATCTGGAGAGAGGTCCAAGGTTTGGGCATTTCATTAACAAACATCAACAAATGTTAATCTTCTCACTACCCTCTATACACGCTCAATGTTTTTGAGGTGGGCCTGTATTTAAAGAAGAAATATGTAAAATGAAAAAAAAAATCAACCAAAAATGCTGCCCTAAAGCTTTTAAACTTGGATATATAACTTGGATATTATCAGAGAAAAGTTTAAATCAGCAAGTCCTTCAACCTCTCTGTGTGGAAAGTTTCTCATCTCAGTAAAAGGGTAATAGAGTGGATCTGGAGAGTTGCTGTGAGCTTTAGAGGAGATAATATATGTAAAAAGCACGTGTAATTTTAGTGTAAAAGCTATAAATAAATTGCCCAATATTACTATACTAGTAGGTATGGAATCTAAATAAATTAAGGAACATTAAATATTGTAACGGAGTGCTCACTGTCTCCCGTGAAACATTGCTAAACACGGTTTAGGGGAAAATTATGTGTCTTTTACTGTGAATAGTTTCTCTGACATGGTCTCCAGCGTACCTTTTATAATAAACGTGCTAGAATATGAAATATTACTTTTATTTAAAAGGTGCAAAATAGTTTTCAAACCCACTAATGAATGAAGGTGTCGCCTAGAAACGGTGTTTTTACCTTTTCAACAGCCTGAGGTCCGGTTTGGCGAAGGCTTTGGGACCAGAGGCGTGAGGTCCCAGAGGAAGGGAAGAAGCCTTGAGCGAAGGAGGAAGGGGTTGCCGTCCGCACCCCAGCCCCCAGCCCCCAGCCCCCAGCCCCCAGCGGCGGCTTCTGCGATTGAAAGCAGCTCTCAGCTGCCGAAACCGCGAATAAAACAGACGGGGGCGCCAAACGACAGCAATAAAGGCATCTGCGACTTCCGCCCGGGTCGCGCCTCCGCAGATCACACCCCCCACCCCCCACCCCCGCCAGGGCCTTGGCCACCCACGGACCCAAGCCTGGACCGAAATGTCCCATTTATTTCCCTAAGCAAGTGGGACTAGGGAGAGGGTACCCTTCCCAGGTTCCTGGGACAGCGACTTCTTTTTGCCAGGAGCACCCTACCAGAGGTGGCAGAACTGGGGGCCTGGACTGTGGAGCAAGGAGGGAGAGGTGGGGGTGTCCACAAGACTAATCTTTGGCCGCGTTAATGGCCAGAAAGCCGGCTCGAGGAGGGGTCATAGTGCTCGGAGTTGTGTGGCCTCGAGGATAGGGTGGGAGGCGGACGCTGAGTCAAGTCATGTTCTGGGTTCCCGACGCCCCCTCCGCGCCCCCCCCCCAACTCTGTAGCCACCGCGTGCCTATCCAGCTTTCCATTTCTCACCTTGGGGGAGAATTCCGTTTATTACCTAAAGAGGTGGAATTGATTTTCTAAGCAAAGCTCGCGTTGTTGAAGTAAGTTGGCGCCGAGGGGAACAGGAGAGAAACTTTTGGCATTGACTATGTGTATAAATGTATATAAATATATTTAACACCTCGTCTCCCCTTACATTCCTGACGCGCCCCCAACGGGTTCAAGGTTAAAAGGAAAGCGCCAACGGAGAGATGGGCAAATAGATTCTGGGTTTGCCCCAAACACACCCCAATGTGCTGGGTGTGGCGGCACGGAGGAAGAAGGGGGGCTGGGTTGGGGTCTGAATTGGCGCCGAGGCGAGGATGCAAGACCCGCGCCGGGCGCCCAGATTGCCAGGGTCTCTCGGCCGCTTCGGAAGCTTGCAGGCGACCTCTGTGTCCTGTCCCTATCTTCTCGTTCCCGCCTGTGGCCGCGGATTCTCCTCTTTTGCTGCTGGCTGGCAGACCCGCACGCATTGGGGGTCCGGACAGGGTGGGGCGCAAGCGCAGGAGGAGATGTGCAACGGCCTTGAGTGAAGATTGATCTTCGTTAAAATGGTTGCCACCGGCGTCATTATGACCATCAAAGTTATCGCCAAGAGGCTCAGCCGCCAAGCTCAGGCCGCAAGAAGCAGCAGCAAGGCTGGTCCGCGACTCTCCGCGCCCGGGCTCAGCACCGGGAATACTCAGGGCCACAGGTAAGAGGCCTGGTTGGGGGAGGAGAGGAAGGAGAGAAGAAAGAGCAGTGGAGAAGGGAGGATAGCGGGATGGTAGGGGAAGGAAGCTAAGTCCCTTCTTTCCCCCTTTGACCTAGAGATTCGGCAACTTTGCCACAAATAATTCGATTTGAGGAGGGAGGGGGAAAGTTGGCAACGCAAAAAGTGGATCTGGGGCGGCCCATATGGCGTTGTAAATCGCGACTGTGTTTAAAGTTAGCTGTCGAATTCTACTATGAAATCGTCCAGCCGAGTTCATTTCCCCCAGGGAAAATGCGTAGGCGAGAAGCCTATCCATCAGCAGGGTTATAAAAGTAAAAAACCCAGGACTTCAAGTTCAGTACTCACTCTGCAAACGGTGTTAAAAAATCAGAGAGGACCTAATGATTTCCGTTTGGAGGCGCGGGCCCAACGCACCTCCCCAGCCACGTAGCACTGAAGTGCTTTCAAAACTCTATGATATTTCCTTTCCCTTTCTCTGTCTCTCTCTCAGTCTCTCTCTCTCTCTCTCTCTCTCTCTCTCTCTCTCTCTCAGCTGGGGTGGGAGGAGAACAGCCACGCTGAGGCGAAGCAGTGGGGAGAGAGAAAATTAGGCATCCTATTTGTTAAATAAAAAACATATTTGATTCTAAAATTCGAAAGATAAGTAATCCAGACAGGAGCGCAAGGTCTTCTCCTTACGCAACTCTTCTACATCCTCCCTCTTGTCCCCTCCCTTACCCCCTCCCGCTTGTAAATGTTAAAAAAAAAAAAAAAAAAAAAAACCTTCCCGACGATCTACTCTGGAAAATCAAAGCATTATCTATTATTTAACACGTATCTGTGTCCGAGGAAAAATGAGGAAGGCGCTGCATGATTAGGACCTAAGGGGCAACCCAGCAAACTGAGAGCGTAATGATGCCCCTAAATGAAGGGGGAAATGTGCCGCGGCGCGCTCTATTAATCAGACTGTCAATTTCACCCCCGAGGCCAAACCCCCGGGCGAACAGAACCGGCTCTGAGCGGGCAAAGGACCGGAGCCTTCCTCCTCACTTCTTGTCTCTTCTCGCCTCCTACCTGGATCTATTTGTCTGCTCCGAAGCTGCCTTCATTACCCACTGACAGGAGCGTGTATTTATTTGCTTATAAACCTGTTACAATAAATGATTATTCGAACGGCGTCATTCGTACCTTAATGACGAGCGAGCGCTACTTTTTGATGAATGACATCTCGGGCTCGGAAGGATGTATGGGTCATTTTGACCAGTCATTCCCTCGCTCTGGCATCCCACAATTTTTCCGCCTCCCTCCAAAAGAGATAATAATATTTAGAGGCGCTCGCTGGGGCTGAATGAGAATTAGCCCTAGGCGCAGCCCATCATTAGGACGGGACAGCCGGGCCACTGTGACATTTTTTAGAAAGCTGAGATGATGGAAAGAATAAGAAAAGAGATGATTCTGATGGAGAGGGGGCTGCACAGCCCCACGACCGGCAAGCGGTTCTCCAATTTATCCGATTCGGCTGGCAATGCTGTGCTCGAGGCCCTGGAAAATTCGCAGCACCCGGCTCGCCTCAGCCCGCGCCTGCCGTCCGCCCCCCTGCACGGCGCTCTGGGAGACCTCCCTGCCAAGGGCAAATTCGAAATAGACACTTTGTTCAACCTGCAGCACCCGGGCAGCGAAAGCACCGTCTCCTCCGAAATCTCGTCCGCCGCCGAAGGCCGTAAAAAGCCGGGTCATTATTCAGAGGCGGCCGCCGAGGCGGACATGAGCAGCGACGTGGAGGTGGGCTGCTCGGCGCTGCGCTCCCCTGGCGGCCTTGCTGCCGCGCCGCTCAAGGAAAACAATGGCAAAGGTAACCGCGCCGCCCTTGCCGCGCTCTCTAGTCCTATCCTCCCGGTTCTTCCGCGGCCCCTGCTGGTCCTTCCTACTGCCTTTGCCCCTAACCGACCCTCCGCAGGCAAGCTGCACCCAGCGGGCTCGAGCGGGGGCGGGACGCATGCTGGGAACCTTGCCCTCCGGCTCTGCTCCTTGAGCCTCCCAGCGAGGCGCAGGCCTGGGAGGTTCCAGGCCCGCCCGCCTTCGCCCGAGTCAGGGAAAATGTTTCTTCGGGCTGGTCTAAAAGCCCATGCGAGCTGGCCGACCTCTAGCCAACCGCTGAGTCGCCCTAAGGGAAGGGTGCCCCGGGTAGCTGCTCTGAACCCCCCTTGCCCCTGATTCCCCAAGGCCGAGTGGAGGGGGCATCCTGAGTAAGTCGGAGGGAGCCTCGCCGGGCGCCTCTGGGAGACCCGCCTGGGTCAGCGGGAGAAAGAGTTGAAAAGTAGAGTCCACCCCCTAATGGTTCGGGTTTGAGCTGCTGCTGTCTTTTGAATTCTAAAAATATTTTTAACCAAACCCAAAAGACCATCAAAGAATGGTTGGAAACCCTACAGAAAGCTGCCCTGCCATCTCCTGACCATGGTAAACCTAGAGTTTACCAAACTACGCCTAGATGTAGGCATTTTCCCTTGGCCACTTTTCCTCCTGAGTTGAAAATTTCTAATTATTAAGAAAAAAAGAAACTTCCTAATTGAGTTCCTACTATTTGGTTAAGAAGGGCTCCCCAAACTTTATTGATTCCATTCACGGCCGCAATTTGTAAGCCTGACAGACCCCATCAATTCAGGCAGCTTCTTGCCTTTCTCTCCCGGCTTCCCCCATCCGCGCTCAGCTCCAGCGCGGAGATCTCGGCCCTACAGTGACTCTCGCGCTGTCGGCCGTTTGTTTGCCAGGGTACTCGGAGAGCGGCTCAGCCGCGGGCACCACGACGTCTGCGTCGGGCTCCGGCCTTGGCAGCCTGCATGGAGGCGGCGGCGGCGGCGGCGGCGGCGGCGGCGGCGGCGGCGGCGGCGGCGGG